TTGGAAACAAATTAAAACGTACAGCTCTGTTATCACTTCCAACATAAATGAAGACAGAAAACTAAACAGCAGTGACGTTTGTAGGGTTACTGAAGTTTGGCTCTGGTATACAATGATGTGCTACGTGACCGCTAGCGACACAGCTATGTTAGCATAATATAAACAAGCTAACTTTTTTCCACTCAATAAAAGTTAACGTGAGTGTTCTCGGTGGTCAGGAACAAATGTAATTGCATGGCAGGATGCTGTAAAAGGACCAAACTTCAGCCAGTGGAACAACTGAGATAATCCATCCACAATACGAGGTTAGTCATTCATATACTGTTGCATGGGCTGGGCTGTAGTTACATCCTAAGGTTTTAAAAACTGAGCTTAAATAAATGATTAGCGGTAATAAAAGCCAAGGGAGGTCAACAGTGATCACTGACTGTTTTAGGAGCTTTTTGAGATTAAATAGAAGAAAATACATAACATTAAACATGTTAACAACACAAAAGCCATATTAAACGCAGACTACTTTAGGCCCGGAAGTAGGATTCGTCACGTCATCACTTAACGACCGGATTAGGAGTATGTGTTGTTCATGCAGAAAATAGCAGGCATGAGGTATGCTTTGCTGGATGCTATCATAATGTCCTCTGGTGAAATCAGGTGGACACTAACCACTTTCATCTGCACAGCATGTTATTTAGACACATACAGAGCTAATAAAATCATATATTCAGTATCTAAATTCTAATAATAACCAAAAGAAGCACATTTTCTCATTGTCACAGTCGGTGTTAAGTGCAGGTGGTAGAGAGGCGTAGGGTGAGTTGGAGAAGGTAGCGAATGTGTTGGTGGTGTCTCCGTTTGTGTGCCTGGTGGCACTGGCAACACAGTCATAGCCACATGATTTTGAATGGAAAAAAGAAAAGAAATTTTAAAAGATTGAGATGAAGTACTCAAAGAGTTGGGGGATTTAGTTAAAAGGAAGAAATGATTCTTCAATTCTGTGCGGAATTTGATTGCAACATTTGATGCAATCTGATAGTTATTTTATGACTTATCATGCTTATATTGAAAACAAATCAGATTTCTTTTAGTTTTATTTTCTGGAAAAGTGAAACAGACGTCAAATCTGTTGCAACCTGACACGACCCTCTGAGTTTTAGGCGTCCTGTAGTCCTCCACAGTCATGTGACATGAACATCACCTATGTGCTCTGAGGCTTTGTGAATACGACGATGAGCTATCTTTGTGTGCTCAGTAGTTAGTTATTAATTGAATAATGAGTGAAAGTTTGAAAAGAAGAGCTTGAAAATGTTTGAGATTTAACATGTAATTTATCTGTAAAAAGGGAACTGCTTATGGATTAATTGCAGTTCATGCTCTCAATATACCAGAGCCGAACTGAATTGACATGACATGACATGGTAGATATATATTCTAAATCATTATTTGAAACTACACACCCTTTCTTTCCAAATTGTGTGAACTATTGGAAGACACAAATGCCACAGCAACAAGACTGTGTGCGCAGCTGAATGTTTTTTATTTACAATGTATTTATTTGAGTTGCTGTGTGCTTTACACTTTTTTTCACCCTTCCAATGAACAAAGTGGTGTTTTTTTCCACACATACAAAAAAGAAATTAAATGCAAAGAGACTGATATGGAAAATTATATTATAAAAGGTTCCACAATATACAGTATATAAGTAATGTCTTTATATATACACAGCACAGTGTTATTAGTGTTGTTTTGTGTATGTATTTGTGGATTTCATGAACATAAGGTGGAGCATCTTGGTGCAGATTTGGATGACTTGCTGTAAGATTGTGAAATATGGCATAAACCTTGGTGGGCTTAGGGGTTTAAAAATGACCTTGTAGCTGTCATTTATTTTATTTTTTGTGTAGTTTCTCTTTGTCATCATTTCCACGTGTCATTACATGTGCTCCTTTACTGTTTCCTTTCTGAGGTTTCAGTCTATTGGTGACATTTGGTGACGATGACTGAGATAAGACACCAGTGATCCCTTACAGATACACCCCATGATGAATATTTTATTGACGCTATAAGAGCTATAAATAAAATGACAGCTCTGGTACAACTGAAAATCTCTACAGCGCTGAAAGGTACATTACACTACCTCTTCTGAGATTAAAAAAAAAACATGCAGCTAGTTAAGAGAGTGTCCACTTCAACCTCCGACTGGGAGCAGATATTATCTTTCTTCATGTGAGCTCAATAATTACTACTTATAAGGAAGCACTAAAGAATATCCACTGGTTTACAAACCTGACAGAAAGAAAATTTACATTTTAGTTATTATGTATACAGAGTTTTAGTAACAAAGCTCCAGTTTGATACTTGGTATCTTTGACAGAACACAGGAAGGTAATGTAGGTTTAGTTATATTACCTACTTGGTCCTAATGCAAGTGTAATTTCAAAAAACAGCAACAGACATAAAACACTTTAATTAAAAACTAAATAAAGACAAATGCAAAATCGGAAAGCCAGAATTCTTGAAGAATACGTGAAAATGAGAATAATTTCCCTGAATATTTGTAGATTCTGATATAAATGAATGTTGAAAAAAAACCATCACTTTAAAGCTCTTTCCTTTACTTCTTCTCTCTGCCTCTGTCATCGCATGAGGCCATGTCCCAACTGTATACCCAAACACAAACACACTCACACACGTCCCTGTGTGTCAAAAGATGTGATGGATTACAACAATCAAACAATATTTCATGAGTCCCAGCTGGCTGCGAGAAGCCAGAGCCATTTAAATTTGTAGGAGAGAACTGCGCTCGTTGTCTATTTTTGTCCCCTCTGTCTTCCACTCTCCTCTGCAATGAGTCACGCTCTGTTCTCAAACCTACTGTGACACACTCTTATCTGAAGGAGCACAAACACGCGGGAAGGTCTGTCGATTAATATCTTGGAAGGCATTAGTTTATGCTGTTCTTTAGAATAATAACACATAATCCTCAAGAAGTCTGCCCTTCTCTCTTCTGTCATCCCAGGCAGTCAGCTCTTCACATTCTCCGAATCCAGGAACAACTTTCATACAGCTGAACCTTGCACGATGTCTGTATCTTTCATCTCCTTTTATGGGTTCAGTGAAGTCCGCAATCGCCAGATAGATCCCCTTTAGATTAATGGTAAATTAGGGTAAGTCTAGCTTAAGCTCACCCCTGCCCAGTTGTTTTCTTTTTTCGTTTTTCTTTTTTAGATGTCTGTCATAACAGGTCTGGAGCAAAACAGCATAATACCAATAGTAATAGTAACCATATGAGAATACTTATGTATAAGTATCAAAAATAGCAAATCTTGCAGTGGTTTATTTTATAGTTATTCTTTAATGGAAATGTTAACAATGAAGTTTTGTGTTTCCTCTGGAATGCATAGGTCATCATTGTTTTTCTACATATGCAAACATGGAAAGCATAAAGGACATAATCAGCTCGTATAATAGAACAAATTAAAAATGACCTCTGTACATTATTTTCCTCAGTCGCTATTTGGCAGCAGTGTTACTGCTGTGCTTACTGCTGTGTGCTGCTTATTGCTAACTGACAGTTGACCATTAAGAGCTGAACACCTGAACAAGAACCTTTGTCCTCATGCAAACAGTTGCATGGCAGATTTCAGCCTTTCCAAAACAGGCCCATTGAATCCAGCCAGATATCATTTAATAGAGCCAAGAATACAAGGCAATTAACTGTAAATGAAAGGTAATTGATTTGCGGTGCCAAATGTACTGTAAAACAAGCCTGCTTTGTGTTGACAGCCTAATGAGGACAACATTGCATCGTTACTGGATATGTATGCGCGTTAGCTCGATAGGGGGAATCTGTTTAATTTAGTGTGTTTAGTGCCCAGTTGGTGGAAGGTTTAAAATAGAGACTGCTCAGGTCACAAACTAATTTTGAAGCCAGATAGGGAACAGATGTATGGTGTAAACTTTTTGCTATGCTATGAGAAGAAGAAGTAATAATTTTCTATTGATTAGATAAAAGAGGAAAATAACTGATTTCTGATTTTTCTAATACCCGCAGCTGATATCCACAATGCATAGACGTGACCAGCAGCATCTGAGCATGTGACGCAGCTCATTCCTGATCTTTAAACTTGTAAAAAGAGCATGCAAAGGCTAGCAGCTTTAACTATTTAGAGAAGTATTTCATGACTCTTCTTTCATCCGTCCATGAGCTGTATCAGTTTAATATGTGGTTTAAGTTTATCCCTAAATGACTTCTATTATTGTGGTATATGCTGAAGAAGGCACCGGTTATAACAGGGCAATTTCCCATCTGATTCTGGCTATAAGGTGCAATCAGACAAACCTCTGACTCTGCTCATTAAAATCAAAAACCTTGCCTTATTTTGACTTTCAAGGTCTTTGTGAATTTCTGATTTCCAGTGCTGCTGTTATTTTTAGATTGCTCCATAGAAGCCCTGTTCTGACCACTCACACGTGCAGTTTTATGAAAATCTATGATTGCACCACTTATTTTGCTCCAGCTAATACTGCAAAGGCTGCTGTTCCCAGCAAGGGCATCTGACATGCACGAGACTCCAGACAATGCACCGCAGTGTTTTATTGTGTTATATTTGATACCATGTCAATCCTGACAGCTGACCCATGGGGTTTATGCTTTGACATGTGATGTAAACTTGTGTTGCCATGCATTCATTTTGTCTGTATTTTATACATAAGATCACCTTCAAATGTGATGTGGCTTATAAGATAGTGATTTGGTCCTTGTTACAGGCAGTCCAGTCTTGAAACGGCCCTTAAGGTGTAAATTGTTCATTTCACAGGTCTTGTTGAGACATTTACTCTGAGATTTTGGTTCTCAAACTTTCAAACCACAACCTAGTGACTCCATATCGTCTCTCTTTTTAGGCTAATATTTTTTTGTGGGCATAGCTTAAACGCGATATTCTTTTTCATCCATTGTTCCTGTTGTTTTTCTTTCTTTCTTTTTGTACATATCCGTCTAGACAAGAGTGCACTATCGCTGCCCTTGCTTTCCTCAGCCTCCGCTCTCAGAGACCATGCAGCTTTCTTCCAGTCAGAAACTATGCGGCCGGCAAATGACCCAAAAGAGCGTGACCCCTCCCACGTGCGGATGCTGAATGATGTACTCCGTGACCTGGAGAAGAGCTTCATCATCCCACAGACACCGCCTGGAGTGTACAGGTAGGAGAAGAGTTATTGCTTCAGAGTTGCAACATTGGTGTAAGGAGGTATAAGCATTCCATTTACCGTTAGCCAATGCACCCCCAGGATACCGATGCTTTCAGTTTCAAGACCTGCAAGATTATGTTACATAATTAAATCTCCACAATCTTGAATATATTTTAATTAATTGTTTGACATTAGAAGTTTCATCCTATATCAATGTGGCTGTTTTCTCTGTGTTTTTATGGGTCACCAGTTCATTTCTTTGCCTTTTTACATTGTTAAAGTTTATTATTTATTCCACATGGCATTAAAAGGTCTTAAATCTAAGCTAAGCAAACTTGACTGGAACAACATTCTTCTCAGAAACCTTTTCCACCTTTGGCTCACTCACAGTTGCCTCCTCCACATCACCGATGGCACAGTTGGTCCTCCTACCTCCTTGTTAGCGTGGTTTAGTTTGCATGTTCTCACATACCTACTCAGCTCCCCAGATACAGCCAAGCCATTGCATTTGCTGTGCGCTCCAGCATCACATACCACTTATCAATGATACTAGATGGCATTTTCTCATTAAAAAAGAAAGTTGTGTGTGATAAAGTTTCCCTATTGATGAAGTCTTTGCAAACTGGAATTTTTGAATAGTTAGAAATATGCGTATTTGTTGACCGCCAGTGTTCTTTCCTGCCTTTGTTCACAAAAAATGCCGTTGAGGTCTTTGCGTAGCATTTTTGCCAGCTGTTATCAGTCGACTCCACTAGTAGGAATATGTGGTTTGCACATTTGTTGGTTTACAAGATGATAAAAAAAAAAACTGGTTAAACACTGCTGTAAGGCATTATTAGTGGTCAAAAATTCCACAGGGATGAAAAACTACTTGAGCAAAGCTCATGTGAGCAATACTCGAAACAAGTTTATTGTGTTCTATCCTGAAATGAAAGTGTGTTTCTTTTACACATCCTTTTCCAAAATGTGCCTCCCTGTTTGTCTGCATGTGCCTTCTGTCGCCCTCTTTTAGTTGTTGGAAGTTGGGTTTCTGCATTTTTGATTTTTCCTTTGTTTTTTGTGAAAACTTTATGGCGTGAGCAGAAATGTTGATTCTGTATTAACAAGTTAACTTTTTTATTAAAGATGATCAAGTGAACAATCAAATGCTCTGCCCTCCATCACTGGTAGGTGCAGCCAAATTGTGAACTCAACTCAACATAAGTGGTCATTAAAACCATAAAGTCCATATGACAGAGTGCATAAAATTCACAGGCAGAACAAAAAAAATACAGTGTACAAATATTGTATTGACATCACTTTGGTACACTCAACCACGGATGTCTAATTAAATTCCTGCCATTTTGACTCCTCTCATTGTGTCTCTTTTTTCTGTCTGGACTTTTAAGTTTTGTCACTCCATTAGTTTATTTGTTTAAAAGTTTTTTTCCTCAACCACTAGTTAGCAACCACTATCATCGCAGCACAAGGCCTAATGAACACAGAAGTATGTTCACTCGTAAGAGGCGGCATTAAATCTAATCCACTTCAGTCCAATCTTTCGTTGTCATATCAACTCCTTCTTGCATAACGCATTTCGATGTCCCTATATAACAAAGAGGAAGGTAAACGAGCATCTGTGAATGTGTTCTGTATTTATTTTGTTTAGGAATCCCTCAGCGGATCTTATTTGTTCTCGTTCGATCGGTCTTGAATGATCTGAACTGGAATTCATATGTTTAATAACATACAGAGAATGAGGCAGTCACATTGCTTGGTATATATACCCTGGAGTTATTTAAATTCATGACTTCATTTGAAAAGGTCTTCTGGTGAGCTGTCATTAAACAGATAATTAGAGAGGCCTTTATTAAATGTCACCTGTTTAGCGTGCAGAACTCTTCATTGTGCGTGTGATCATGAGAAATATCCCAAAACTGTACACATTGATTGTAGTGGTGGCCCAGTGCAGCTGAATGAAAGTGGTTCAATCACTAGCTTATTCAGAAAATCCTGGCAGGCAAAGAACAAGCTTGTAGGTTACACCTGTTTGAACACAATGGCCTGTAGCCTGCATAGCAATGACTCATCTAAACAGTTCCCACTATGCCTGGGAAACATTTGGAACACGTGGCAACTCCGGAGGCCAAATCCAGGAATTCAAATTTGCTGATGAATAGAGCAGCGACAGTAAGGGATTACAGGAAAGATACTTTATCACGGATAGTCTAATCTCATTTCATTTTGGATAAGAGAGACCCTGTCAGCATTTGTAATACTGTAACACACACAGGTTCTTCAAATTAGCATCCTTTTGCTTTGATACCTTTGTAAGTGGGTAAGTCAGCTGTGCACTATGTTTATTCTCTGAACAGCTTCATGTTTCAGCTCCTGAAGCTTTTTACATAATCTTGTATTAACTACTTATTGACAGATTTTCGGTATTGGATTGTTTTTCAGCATTTTGGTCATAAAGTTCTGATTTCTGTCTCTCCCAACATTTGATGTTATTGTTGCTGCTTCTGTAACTCTGGTAAGCATTAAATGTGGTTCTTGTTCTGAAGCTGGTAAGACTAACTTGTCCTCTGCAGCAGAAAACCTCTTATAGGAGCTGGTGCAGTTATACAAACCACCAAATTACTTTTGGATTGGCTAACCTTAATGTCGTTTCCGTCTTAACGTGCATTATTCTTTTGTTTTTTGTGTTTTGTTTTTTAAATAGCAGAAAAAATGTTATTACATTAAAGAACTTTATATACTAACAAATCCTAACATAACTAGTCTCAGCAGAGTTTCACAATATTACAGAGGCAACCCAACAAACATCTTTGAGGAAGAACTTTGCAAAAGTGGGGAAAGAATTTCAACAGGACGGGAAAAAAAGTAAAAGAAAAGAAAAAGAAATGAAGTGAGGCCATGTACTTGGAATCTTAGGGTGAGAGAGGAGCCAGGAGACAACAGACAATAAAAAGTGAGCAGGTTGGTGGGGTCAGTAACTACAGGTCAGAAAACGTCAGCCCACAGAGCCGAAGGTGCATGCAGAAATGTGCAGGGCGAGGGCAAAGTAGAACAACTACAGTCTAGTGGAGAGAAAACAAGTTCTCACTGATAGTCACATACAAAATATAAATATAAAGTAAAGAAGAGGATGTCAGTTTGCTGGATAACAGCACCACCTCTGCAAAGCAAAATTAGTCTTAAACATTTTTACTAGGCAAGAAATTCAATGAATTAACTTTTAACTGCTCTCACGTTTTAACTAAAAACGATTCCCCGTGACTCCTGGGAGCCATTTAAGGTGCTGTATTTGTGTGAAAACTTTACTTACTATCCCATATGTGTTACTTCACTGTTTGGATTCCTTTTTCTTCTAAACTATAGAAAACTGTAGTGATGTATTTTTTTTCCATCCCTCTCATTCCAACCAGTTGGCTGAACTCAAACTTTTGTCCTCTTGAAGTCGTAACTCAGTCCAAAATTAGATGACACAAGGAGCACATAGGTGCAGGTACACTCGTTAACACCCTTCTACTGGTGGTGGGATTTCCAATGCTCATTAAGGATAACTCCGTAAACCGAGGGGTTTTTTTGGTTTGTTTTTAGCGCTTTAAGTGTCTCTTTTTACATCGGCTTCACAAGTAGCTTCTGTATGAGTTGTATTTTGCAGTTTTAGGTATAATAATTCTAACATTCAGAAAAGTTTATCCTCACTAGCTTTTCGTCAATCCTCACAAGATTGGTTGTGCAGTGCAGGATAAAAATTTACTCATGTACCCTATGCTATTTGTTTATTTATTCATCATGATTCAATACTGCAGTCGATAGAAGCTGAGGAGCTGAAGCTAGCTACAGATTCAAAAGTCCATTCAAATGGCCAAGAGACCTCTTTTAACTTCAAACGAAGCTCATTTTCATTTAGACCTCCTCTGATAATATGAAAGGAAACTACAATGTTGTATTAGAAACACACAAATGCATCATATAAACTGGACCACACATTTAAACAACTTCTTAATAAGGCACATACCTTCTCCTGGAAAAGTTTGAATATAATAAATCGGAAAAGTATGTGAAGTCAACAAGTTCTTATAACTTCGCCAGTAGTGCTGGCACAAACCTGAATTTGAACTGCACAAGCCTCTTCATGCACAAGATAACGTTACGGATAAATCATTCACAGATGGATACAAGTAGCTAACTTGGTACATACACTTTATATAAAATTGAAAATCAAAATGATTATCCTTCCATGATTTATGTCAACAAAACCAAGAAAATCATTTTTCCCCAGATAAAATAAATTAGACTTGTCTCCTTTAGTGATCTTAGTATCAAATCATACATGTTAAACCATGGAGAAGTTGACTTTCGTTGGCTTGTTTCTTTGTTCGATTTATTTGAAAGCTTGGGAGTAGGGTGTTTTGGTTCCATCAGGGTGCTGGGTCTTTTCACTCAGCATCCTGAGCTAATTGTGTATTATCTTGGTATCATGATGATTTAGATCCTGTTTAAACACAGTTTAGTCGTGTATTATATTCTGATATATTTGAGTTTTGTGGTTTGCCTTCATTATGATTTATTCCCTGAGGTTGTGTGTTTGTCTCACTCCCGTGTCGCCCATGTGAGTCTGTCATGTCTTCAGTGTTAAGTTCACCTCCCCTCTGTGTGTCTCAGGTCTGCATCTTTATGTTTCCTGTTTTATTGTGACAGTCTCGTGTTCCATGTTCAATGTGTTTAATTTTGCTTCCCCTCTGGCGTCATCTTCATTCGTATCAGCTATGTTCCCCATGTCTTTCCACTCCCCTCGTCTCCTCTCTGTGTATTTAGCGTGTCAGTTTTCTGTTATTCGTTGTCACGCGATGTCTCCAGGTTTCCTCATATCCACCCCAGGTTTTCATGTTTAAAGTTGTCACATATATTTTCTAGTTTTCCCAGTTTGGGTTTAGTTTAGTGTCGAATTGTTTTGCCTCGCCCTTTGTTTTGTAGTCTTTATCAGCCACAATAAACGACTCGCCCTTCGTTAAGATTCCTGT